AGATTGTTTCATCGGGGCACCGAGACAACGTCGTCCGTTGTCATCCGCGCTCGTATCCATCGATCTTAGTTAATTATACGAGCGATAGTGGCGACCTTTAATGGCTTTAATAACGTTGGCTCGCACTGCAGGATGCATACGGAATGACATAAATCGTGGACCTAACGTTTCGCATAATACGGAACGACTTTATTGCCCGGCGAACGATATACGCTCTGCGGGAAGGGTAGTTTTATACCTTTAACCCCCTTGTCTTACTGGCTTCAGCGTCGTACAGTTTCGAAGAAAATCAGTTTCTTGAAAATTATTATTTATTTACACGTTAATAGAGAGTGACCGAAATATTCAAATTTTTTAATTTATTTTTGAACATAAGTGTCATTAAAATTGTACGGAACATTTTAAATAGTAGATGGAAGCATTGGGTCATGAAAAATTCATTCTTAATATCCTTGATAATCTCTACTATCGTACGTCGCGCCAAGCGTTGATATTTCTACTGCGGCAGCACCGTATTAAGTAGTAAAACCTAAAAATTCTCAGCCTGAGTGTGCCCAGATTAATTATGAAATTATCTTTTAGTTTGTATTGAAATTATCTTAAAGTTTGTACTAAATTATGTATTAGAAGAAAAATTAAATTTCATTTAATATTAATAATTGAAATTTGCAAACGACAACTTTGACTTCATTTCGATTCCCGCTTAAATGACCATCCTCGTCCCCTTTTACCCGAAGACAAGAGATAAAAACTGTTGGAAAAAAAAATAGCGGCATTTCCCAAACTGTATCTAATATCTCTGAACGAAACGGCCAACATTGGCCGAGTAGAAGTCGAGGGAATCGCGTACAAGTTCCGATTCCGTACGGTCTAGGCCAAGGGATGCTTATCTAAATTCCCAGGAACATCGCGTGCTTCACGGATAAGCCGGCCACGAATTGTAATAAGGACAACGAGAATTTACTTGCGGGCAAATACGAGAAGGCGGCGTCGACTTTGTCCGACAAACTTTTATGAGAAAAGCTAACCCCTACCGCCGCATCTTGGACTCTGCATTCTCGAAACGCGAAATTACTCGTTGAAATTCGTCCGCTGACTTTGTTAACTCGAAATCTTTTCCCACAATTTCGTTCGATGTGTATGAAGCGGCACGGAATATGTCTGAAAGTCGAACAGAATCTAAAACGTTTGCGATACGCTCGAGAAAGGTTTAACCCATGGAATGTGCGCGGATTGGTCTCGTGTTTCGCGTCAAAGAATGGAGTTCACTGATTGCTATCGACAAAGACGAGGGACTTAAATTGAGAGGAAATGATTCTTTATGCCTGATGAATCATCACAAGTGTTCTCTTTTAAGCGTTTCCATTTATGAAAATACCAAGGAATGAAAATTACTTGGGAAATTAAAATGTAAAAAAATTTTTTAATTTTACGAAACAAATTTTATTGCGGGAAAATAACTCGAGAGGTAATAAATGAATTTCGTGCTGAAGATACCTCGACTTCCAACCGCAAAGGGTCAATTTCCCAACTACCATCGCGAAACTTTCAAGAACCGTTCTCGAAGGTATTTTTTAAGTACGCAAAGGAAAATTCGATTCTTTGAAACTGCTGGCGTGTTCGATGTAGAGTAACGAGTATCAGAGGCGGTGAAAGACGATGGAAAGGTTTCGACGAAAAACTTCTTATCTGTTAAGGGTTCTCGGGGACACATCGCGTGTCCCGTAGATAAGCCGACCGCAGAGTCGCAATAAAGACAATGAGAAGTTGCTTTCGAGCGAAGTGGCCGGGACGAGGGTGGCCGTGGTCTCGTCGACGATCGTTCTTGTTGTTTGTAACGATTGTCGTCGACCGTTGTATCTTCGATCTTGGTTAATCGTCCGGGTTCGTGATCGTGAACGCGTGACGGGTAAAAAGGGCAACGAGTGGCAATAAAGACGAGCAGAGACCCGTTGCTCGTCTTTGTTGAGCTTCCTGCGTATCTCTGATCTCTCTTATTCATGCGAACTGACACACAGCCTTTCGTTATTTACGTCCGTCACTGTGAACACGGCCACGGTCAAGAGGACGTTGAATGGCGATAAAGAGAGCCGACTGTCATCCCCCATTGACCAGCTTGTAACCGACAACTCCTACGATTTTGATTACGATTTCCATTTTCATTCAGACTAAAGATTGCTCATTCTAGTTTCTCTTTTTTTACGCGAAAATAAATTTGATATTATTGCTATTCTCTGTAACTTGAATTTTCAACGTTTGGGAAAATAAATGATAAAGTTACTCGCAAAAGAAATTCTCAAAATTCTAATTCTGACGAAATTAATATTCAAAGTAATTTAGAAAAGGATAATATTATTTTTAATTATTGTACATTATAAAATTGAGTACAAAATTCCAAAGTACGAATGGCAAAGAAAATATTAATTCAAATTTTCCCACATAAACAGACCTACATATATGGAGTCTCCTCCCCTACATTGTAATTCTCCCTGGGGATGTCAATAGGGAAGGGTGGAAACCCCGACCATCACCATTTTCCCCGGGAAAGACTGATTTGATCATAAGTATACTTCTACTTTAAATTAACTTTTGAATTCCATTATGTTCCTATATCGAAGGTATTTTCTTTTTAATTAGTTGTTTAATATTACGGAAGGTAGACGTCTTCACTTTGATTCGAAACAAAAGTTTTATTCAGAGTGCATACTCGGTCTGGAAGAAACTTTTCTAAAGAGTATTCTTCTACAATTGCAGAAACGGTGAATATACTTCAGATAATGAAGTTATGCGCGACATTCTGCATAATGAGAGAGATTAAAGGATGTAATAACTTGGAAAGTTTGCACGCTACATCCAGGCCGAATGTCTGTCTAGCCTTAAGAAAACAACTTTGCCCGTTTCGTGGGCCTATTTCCATATCTCAAGTACATGCCACCAATCCTATATATCTAATAAATGCTATACCGAGCTTGTTTCTAAGATTCAACGAGTTAATTAACTCATTAGAGATCGAATTTTTCTATGCTCGCAAAAAGAGATGGTAAAGTGCCTTTAAAGATACTTGTAATTATAATTTACAATTTCAAATTTATGTAATAAATTTGTAAGTTAATACTTTACCAAATTTAATTTACACCTTCTCATTAATGATACCCTTTAAAATAAAATCTGAGTACCTATGTTTATTTAAATTTCTGGTTACATTCATCCTAAGTACTATTTTATTTTTTTAAGTAAAATAATATTTTCAAATAATATCCTAGACTTCATATCTCAGTCTTCACTATTTCTATGTCCTGATGAAAAGTCACCAACCATTTCCATCATTTTTCCACACCCTCGACCTTAATTATGCGGTTCATCGAGCCACCGAAAGGAGAGTAAACAAAATCAGTAATCACGATCCTATGACAATTCTCGTGGACGATGTTGTTAACGCGTAAGCAGGGCAAAAGTCGAGATTCTCGGCGTGTTCGCCGTCTAAAACGGCCCAGACAAACAGAGAAGGAGGGGGGGGGGGGTGGGAGCTTGCAGGAGGGTTGGGGGTGGATTGAACGGAGAAAGAGAAAGGCGCAGTATTCTCCATTTGAATAATATATGCGCTTGCCAAGAGGCTGCAGGATAAATGTAGTCGTATTTGCACAACAATTTCCAGCGTGTAGCTCTTGTGCTGTCGGTCCGTTTGCCGAGGGAGGAGGTCGACGTTTAATGAGCCGTGTCTCACCCTCGCCCTCGCCCTCACCCTCCGTCTCCTTCTTGTCCTCGTCTTCGTTACATCGCGAGGGATCGTTTGACGCGCGCTACGTTGTACATCGTCCTTCCAGTGCAAAATATGGAAAAACGAAATCGATATCGAACGATCCCCGTCTCTGTGACGTTAGGCTACGTAATTGCCGTCTTTGAGACACCTTTGGGCTATTTTTGGACAGATTGCACGTCACGAAATTTGTGATACATGAGAGAATTTGAAAATTAGATGGAGAATGATGGTACTATTATTAACCCTTGGGCTACTGAGATAGGAACAATTTAATTTTAATTTTATCTTCTAAGCTTCTCAATTATTTCATTATTTTTCCTGTAATTTTAATCAATGAAAACTAATATCATAAATATTTAATTTTCTATCAAGATAACATAAGAAATCTACAAGAATCCCTGCATTAGCCTAACACTTATCAGATTCTTCAGACTTTCATGAACTGGATGCTTGCAATTGAATCTATTAGAAGCTTCCGACTATAAACCGTGCCCTTTAGGGAAATAATCCTGAGGTTTCGCCGGTATAGTAACTAAGTAGTTCCATCAGAAGTTACCTAATCCCTGGTCTCAGTTGCAATTACAAATTTTATTCAAAATCACTGCACGAAGAAGATCTCAAAAATCCACCGTTTCAACGTGTATGATAAGCTAAAATGTAAATTTTCAGCTGCTTTATACGAGGAAAAACAATTTTCCGCGGAATAATTCAAGCGTTTTCATGTAAAATACGCTCAACGAAGCATTATAACGTTTCAATCCCCGCGACCCAAAATCACGAAAAACAGAAATTTTTGTATATTACCAACATCAATTTATACTTGTAAAAGTTTTTCGTAATTAAACTCTTAAATAACAAACTATAATAAAAATCATAAATCGCGTTAAGCATTATCGATTCAGAAGGGATGGAAGAAAAATTCATCTTCGCGACAAAGCAATGGAATCCTTTTCCAAAGTTCTTTCTCTTCTCTCTTATTTACAATCCAAACACGCGAACTTCCGCGAAAACACATCGAGAACGACGACAACGAGGCTTGTGGAGGGAGAATCGCGATGAAATGTTATTTTTTCGGATTAATTTGCAATGAAACGATGCGAAGGCAGAATAGGAGAAAGAGCAATGGAAGAAAAACGAAGAAAAGACTGATAGCAATTTAAGTGTTGCCAGGGGTGGCTCGACTAATAGGTCTTCTTCATCTTTCTTAACCGCCCCCCTTTTCACTGTGAGCTACGCTTACCTAAATACCGGAAGCGGTTGCCTGGAAAGCGGCGACGACACTCTGGCTACACGTCCGTCCTCTCCTTAAGCCGGTCTGAAACAAGAAACACGAATGAAAGGAGGATTACGCGGAGGCCAACCTTCTCCCCCCACCCCAGGCTTCGTCAACAAATGGTTACAGAAAGCTCGAGCGAAATAGTTTGAACATTCAAAACGAGCAGATTAAGTTTTTCCTTGCTGTGTTGAAAGGCAAACCGGTTATCCAATTTCTTTCTTGTCCCCCACTCGTCAACGTACCCTTTCCAATTACAACCCTGTCCACGTCTAAACCCATCTGGAAATTCTCGTTTGCCCATTTTCAACCCACTGACGAGTGACATTGTCACGCGTTGATTAACTTTGAATGACGTGAATTTTAACAGGGTGACTGTTATGCGACACATACGTGGCTGATGCTTCGATTTCCATAGGAATAATCTCTTTTTTTTCTAAATTCCCAGTTTCAGAACATTTCCCTTGCGAGAATAAACGATCGTGTCGAATGACAGTGTCAAAAATGAAATATAAACCGTTTGGCATACCAACACGCTTCCAGCCTCGATGTCCGATCGTGAAATGTGTACCGGTTCTCTTGGAATCGTCGGTAAATTAAATGAGGAGCTTAGCCTGGGCAAGTAGTGGCGTTAAATAAATTGCTGGAATCCGTTCTTTAATTACGATTCGCCTTGAAAGAAACACGAGCGACGCAGGGAAAAAACAGCGAGTTTAATGAGCCGCGTGAAAGGCGAGCTTAAACCGAGCTCGTCTTTTCATCTGGCTGAAAATTTCGCGAAAATTCGTTCCGTTTTCAGCACGGATGATTTTAACTCGGCTTACCGCGGCAAAACAGCCGACGTATCCCCGTTTATCCCGGTTAAAAGTCGGCGATTCGTTAAGAATCAGTGACCTCTGGCTACCGTGTACGAACAGGATGGGGAGCGGAAAGAAAACTCGTGCAAGAACGAGGTGGAAAAAATAACGCGCAAAGTGTATCCCTCCCGTTTGCGAGGGTAGAAAGTTGGCCAGAGGATGCGTTCCACTCGTGCACGTGGCTGTTTTCGCAAGCTTACAGCCAGATCTGTACACAGCCAAGGGGTTAACCGACCGCGTATCCCCTGCTATCGTCATAACCCACATAGAGGGCGTCACACCGACCAAAGAACGGGTCGGGGCGAGGGTGAAAGGAGGTGGCCAGTGACGTCAAATTCCCCTCGCACACGTGCACACAGGTTCAACACAGATGCGTCGATAAGCTTTTGCTGGATGCTGCATCTCCCTCCCTCCTCTCTCCCTCACTCTTCGGCCTTTTTTTTTCTATCCTAACTACCGAACTATGACGTAAACCGTTTTGCCAACGGTTCTCCATTTATCTTCCGTCTCTTAATTTCCAACGGAAAAATCGAAAGCCCGCGTAGCTGCAGACCCGCGATTCCAATACATTTCTGCGTCAAACTGTCAACGCGTGCTCACTCGATGGAATACCGGGGGTTAGGTGGATTTTCTATCGATGCGCTTTGCTGTTCATTTTCCAACGTAGAACGGTGCTACGGGCACTGCATCGGTAATTGTACGCCGACGTTTCGGCGAAAAGAGATTTATGACGCGAAATGAAACGGGAACGTCGTTCCGCAGAAGAGTTGGACAATTTTGAAATGACATTACCGTGCGGCTTTGATTAACACCCAGGGTTGGGATCAAGCTCTATATATTTAGAAAAGGTTCGTTTAAATATATTTTACAACGTACCATTTAAGATATTTCATAATTAACCAACGTGTTTATAAATTAACATTAGATATTCTTGGGTAATTAATCTGTCTCTCGAGAATAAATTAATTTATTGCAAACATTGATGGCTTTGCATCTCCTTGAAAAATATTATTATAAATTTACTTCGGAACAAGTTAGATTCTTGATGCATTAAGGGTAAACCAGAGTTTCCATCCCTCACGTATAGACAGCGACATGAGTTATTGTAGCAGAATTCGCAACATATTTTGCTTTGTTGTGCCACTATCGGTTAACAAATGCATAAAGTGTGACACGGAACAAGCAATATCCATTGACATGTTCGCCGTTGTATGCCTTTCTTGTGTAATCAGCGTAAAACAGTCGCCGAAGCGGCAAGAAACATTAGGGAAACTTGTGGATAACTATTGATATCACAATGGTTATTATTATATTTTTCTACAATTACTTGCTCTGAATATGGCAAATCGTAATAAAAAATAACTAAATATGTAAAGAAAATGTATTTCTTTAATTTGAATATTGCCGCGCTTAGAAAAGATCGTGGGATACACGGTAGAAAGAGAAAGATAAATAATTTGCACGTGATAAACCAAGGTTATTGATAAGTGATTAGGATAATTGTAATTAATAACATTAAATGTCGTTTCGTTTATTGCAGGTAGGAACGTTTGTAAATAGTATAAAAAGGTAGGATGTAAATAACGAAATATAATCTTTTATTACAGTCACTTTTCCTAATTAACTAACACCACATTATAAATATATTTTCACTAACAGTATTCCATCGGTTATAGAATATTCATAAAGAATAAATTGCCACAAAATGTCTGAAAACTTTTGCATAACTTTGTTCGATTGTTTGCAAATATTGTAACAAGTCAAACAAAAACACAAAATAAAAAGGGGTATCGCGTATTCATGGAACGCTCTTTTATCGTTTCAAGCCCTAGACCAATCTCTCGGAGTAGCGATTTACAATTCAAAATTGTTCTAATATATTCAAAACGGAAAACAGAAACGACGGAAAGCAACGGGATGGTGAACGGTGGACCGTCGGAGCATACGTATCAGCGCGTGCATTAATTATACTTCCGGTGACAGGGCGCGAACGAAAATGGACGGGTATATTATACGCCTTAGGTGGGTGCAGTTCGCGCGCGGCATTTAATTACCCCGGAATCCAATCTTGGTTAGCCGACAATGAGAGTAATTCACCGGTGCCTTTATTAAACTAACATCGCCGAATCTGCCGTAGCGGTGCGTTCCGGGGGGACCGGCAAGCATTTTAATTGAATTTTAAAACGGAGAACCCCGGCAAGAGGGAAGAGCAAACGCTTTGGCGATCATCCAAACAGCTTTCTACGTCTCCGAGTTCGGGCCAATTGTCTTCCGTTCGATTAAAAATCAACGGAAATGGGCGAGAGTATCGTTGAACGCGCCGTTTAACAGGGGACGATGCTTGATTCGCGTGGAAATCTTAAAAACGTTAACCTGAACGGAGCCTTCCAAGATGCCGAATAGATGACCACTTTAAAATAACAGAGTAATTAAAAAGAGAATTGAAAATTTTTAACGGCATTGCTATTCGCTCAGGGATTATACAGTGGGTGATCAAATTATTCGAGCCACTCACATAAATTGACGATTTTGCATAAAAATGATTAATTCTTAAATGAAAACCAAGTTAAACAGTGTTTTTATTATTTTTTTATGATGTTTGTAAAAGTATGATACAGAGTTGAAAAAAGTGAAAGTTCCTGACTGGCCTGAAAATTCTCCGGACCTCAACCCCATCGAAAATTTATGGAAATATTTATTATTAGTAATAAATGTCAGAAGTATGGGCCAGAAATAAAGCAATCAAAATGAATTTAAATTGCAGCAAAAGGCGGCGTTACGAAATACTAACGTACATGTGTAAATATAATCTTTTAAATGTATTTCTTTATTTTTATAAGTATTTTTTTGTGTATTAATAGCGGAGGATTATTGATTAAAAGTTACACAATGTAAAAACCTTAAAATTGTGGCTCTATTTCTACACAAACACGAAAAACCTATTTTTCATACCGTGGCTCTAATAATTTCATCACCCACTGTGCTTTCTAAATCCGCCAATGGATAAAGAAATCTTTTTTATTCGCAATGCGCGAACTTTCCGTGTCTAATCCTCCGAGGACGATCGATCGGACGTAGACGGACGTTTCGCGAGATTTTCGCGCCTCGATGCCGACGAAAGCGACGAAGGATGAAAGGATGGGAGAGCCGAGGGATAGACGGTGGACACAGGGCTAGCAACTCATTCGGACATTGACAAATGGTTCCATCGATGGGTGGGGAACGTGTTAAATGTATCTGGTCGCGTTAGGATCGGATGGATGACTGTTGGTAGTATCGGGTCGGCTCCATTTCGAATTCTTCTCCCGGCTTTTCTTCGTTATCGGCCTCGCGTCCGTGAACGCGCTTTTCCGATCCCATTACCCGCGTTATTTATTACCGGTCGCCGCGTGAAAATAGCATCGCACGACGTCAATGGACGCGTCGTCTGATAATTATGTGGCCACGGGGATAAAGAGAACGAACAGGTGAGACCACGTTGAGAAACGATCGGCATCAGGTCCGAGCAAATCGTGCGGTTCCTTCTATAGCCGCAGGGATTCTGAATACCTGATGGTGCGTGAGAGAACATGACGATACGTGAAGTCTTCATTTCGAGGAAATTTACAGAAAATAATCATTGATAAATATATAAATTCGAAAGAAGATTATTGAAATATTTTATTTTGATTAATTTATAATTTAGATATCGCCATTTTAATATTTCTAAAAAAGGAAACTTTTTGGAATCTGTAGTCTGTGAAATGGAAATTCATAAGATACCCCAGGCAGAATGAAGAAATACAATAATATATCGAAATTTTATGCAAATCACCCAGCTCCTAAAACTACGCCAAAGAGTAAGATTCCACTCCTCCTAGAACCACAGTAGAAACAATTCCCGGAACCCTCCAAAAAAAAAAGGAGCATCCCCATTTCTCCTTCGCCGGGATTCAATCCAAAACCACTCGAACGAGTAGCAGCTTATAAATAAAACAGCCGTTGTTTACGATCCTCTTCTCCTTTCCTCGATCCGCCCTCGTCGCGTGGAAAATACATTAACCATCAGCAGAAAGTTTGAAACTTAATCAGAATCCTCGCTCATTAGCTATTCCGACGGAGAGATATTTGTCGGGGAAACGGGGACGGGCGAGAAAATTTGTGTTGGCGGTCGGGAGGATAAAAAGCACACACGCGACATCGAGC